GCTTGTGTTGGCCACAGGCTGCGCTCGTCCGGCGCATGGCGCCCAATCCAAATCTAAGCATCCAGACATTGTGCAGCTCTTCTGAGGCATGGCAGCGAAGAATACAATGTGCCACCCTTCTCCCTTGAGTCCTTCTCGTCCTGCTGCTCGTCTTCCCCTCGATGGCCAAGCAGGTGCCATGGTCTCTGGTCCCGTCCAACGCGTCGAGCAGTGCTTGGCCAAGATCCGCCTACTTAGATCATGCTGAACACGCGTCTGAACAAATGAGTGGACGAGATACGCTCGTCTGAACACACACGCACATGGAATACGTACAATATGTATATATATGTATGCAATATCTAATTGTGCATGACCATCCATATGTGTATATAGATACATATAAGACTGCAGTGGAGCTTCGCGCCATATACCTTGGTCCTTGAAGTTTGGCATGCAGGCGGAATAGCAGGAAGATCAAGTCGACAATTTAGCGATAACTCTTTGTTGCCGTTTCCGGTATCGCCGCTATAATAATGTTCTTCGTTATCCTTACTCCATGCTTCTTTTTCCTCATTTTCGCCATACCCTGCGCATTCTCCCCATCCTCCTCAGCTCTTTTTGCGGAGGCTCCTCCTTGGAGAGCTTCTGGGGGCCTCACAAAAGTTGTTTCAGGCTTTCTTTAAGGCCTTCTGGAGGCCTCCCGGGCGTATTCTGGGGACCTCTGGGGGCTTCATCGGGCCACCCTGCCTCCAACCGCGGTCTCCCTGAACGACCCGGTCACGGTTTGGAATGCTTCCGAGAGTGTCTTGGGGCCATCTTGGGCCGCCATGGGGCTCTCTGAGGGCCATCTTGGACCCGTGTTGTGCCGTTTTGGGGCTCTTCTTGGAGGACTGCCTAGAAGCCCTTTCGGATGGTTGTGGGGTGATTTCGGAGCCTCCCAGGCGGCTTTGGACGCCCAGAAGACCGCCGTCTTGGAGCGTCGGGAAGCCGAAAAGAGCCCAAATTCACCAAAAACCAGCAGAAAACCAATGATGTTTGCCTCTTGGGGCCTCTTGGGAGTGCTCTTGGAGGCCTCTTTGGGGCCGTCCTGGAGGCCTCTTGGGCCACCTTGAGGTCACGTCGGTCACTCTTTGAGCGCTCTTATGCTGCCCCCCTGATCGCCCTAGGTGTGCTGGGAAGGCTTGGCAAAACGCCCTGCGAGGCCAGGGGGTCCGCTTCGAGGCCCATCTGGAGGGTCCCAAAGCCCCAGATCCCGGGAGTCCCGTTTTGGGGGGAGGGGGGGTCCCCCCGCCCGGGCTTGCAAACATATAGGAAGAGGAATAGATATGCATATGACGATCTTGGCCACGTGATGATATGAGTGGTGGGATGGTTACGTAAGTGGTTCCGCCTCGTCATCTTCTTTCCCTTACTTTTTACTTCCATCCGATATTGTATTGGACAGACCTGGCAAGCCTTGAGACAGTCTGGGCCACATGAGGAGTACGGCCTGCGAGAGCGGAAGCACGACGACGACAGGAAGGCAGGAGCAGCAGCAAGAGAATCAGCAGAAGGAGCTTCTGTGACGCCTGAGATCGATTAGGACATTCGGCGTCGCGAGGCGCCGCAGATCCCCCAATCGATGATGCACTGCCAAGACGCCGAAATTAGTGCCACTAGGAGGAGGAGGAGGAGGAGGAGGAGGAGGAGGAGGAGGAGGAGGAGGAGGAGGAGGAGGAAGAGGAGGAGGAGGAGGAGGAGGAGGAGGAGGAGGAGGAGGAGGAGGAGGAGGAGGAGAGGAGGGCGCGGGTGTGAAACGCGGGCGCGGCGCGGCAGGGAAGAAAACCAGAACCCCACGAAACATGTGGGGAAAAAAGGTTATCGTTACTGTCGAACGTCGCGGGCCGCGTCTGGTCTGGCCTCGAGAGCTACATATTACGCCCCCGTGAGGTACACCGACTAGACTGTGCGCTAGCCAAAAAGCTACGGGCCATGTTGAAAGGAGCTGCGCATCACGAGGACTCAGAGGGCCATCATAATTCCATGTCAACGCTCCAGATCTTTCGTGAATGGCAGGTGGCCCCAACCGCCATCGAGCTTTTAGTGCGGCGTCTCAGCTGGTGGCAGAACATTCTTGGTAACTTTAGCCACCGCGGTCAGTTCCTCGTTTTTTTTTTTTTCCTTCCTCTTTGTTTTTGTTTCTTTGTTGTTTCTCTCTCTCTCTCCTTTTTTCTCTCTCTCTCTCTCTCTCTCTCTCCTTTTTTATATTTCTCCTTTTGTTTTCGGAAGATGTGAGTTTGAGAAGCAGGCGGCCAAACGCAACCGCCCCGTCTCAGTCTCGACCCTCAACGAGCAGGGCGAGATCGACGCGCGCGCCCATCCCTGGACGCGCCAGCTCTCGAGTGACCTCGAGTGCTTCATCTCGCATTCGATTGGTGAATCATTGAGAGAGCTGCGGCAGAGCAGACGATTGAAAAACTTTGGAGCGATGATCAGATTCGCGGTGCATTTCTCTATTGTGATGTACGAGCGCTTCGCGCAGGCTTCTGGACGTGCCGGCGCCCCCCCCCCCGAGGGAAACGGCATCCTTGAGGCCGTCCCGTCCCAGACCCAGCAGGGCGAGACCGACAGCGACGCTGAGCATGTTCGACCATTTCGACGCGGGCTCCCTGGATGCGGTCAGCGGTTTGGGTCCGTACGACAGCTTGTAAACCATCAAACAAAAAGCAACGCTGAAGAACACGGGCAGCCTCAAATACTGACCACCTTACAGTATGACAACAAGTGCATTGTATGCGATACCACATTTCCTAATGTAGATCACGCTGTGCGACAGTTGCGGCGAGCGTGGATACAAGGTAGGTGTATCGCGGAACTCACGCATCATAGTTATCCATGGATACCCTCATCATGTACAACATGCCCATTATCGGAATATCAAGTGGACTCTGCATGTACATTCGAATTTCATGACCCTGTTAAGCTGCGTCAGCATTTACATGACTACATCCCTCCGCCGCCATCGGGTTCCGCGCTCGAGAAGGTATCGCGCAGAGAGGTGGAGAGCACAACCGCCGCCCAGCATCCGCGTGGGCCCCTCGCCGCGCCGCCTCCCCCCCGTCTTTCGCAGACAGTGCAGGACGCATTGGCGGCCGGGCGCGAGCTGCGACGGGCCGCGGATCGACTGCTACTCGCGCCGCGAGTGAAGGCGTCCACGCGAAGGAGACCACCCAATGCTGGACTTTCGAGAGCTATCCCCACAGCAGGTATTTCGACGTCCTTCGCGCCGACGCGGGCCAGATTTGCAGCGGCGACCCCGGCGCCCCCGCCGCCGCCAACCGCACCTCCGCCTCCTGAGCCTGGGGATGAGCGAGAACGAGCAGCCGCCAGCGAAGGCTCCCCCTGCGCGAGCAGCGTGGCGCCACCCCCTGGGCTCCTCCCAGGGCTCGCGAGGATCTGGGCAAGACTCGGCAGCAAAGGCAGCGGGGGCTCCGCCATCGGTCAAGCCTCGACTTCAGCGACCACCACCGCGGCGAGGAGCAGCGGAGGCAGACTCGGAGGGCGAGGGCGCGGCCATGATGGGCGAGGGCGAGGAAGAGGGGATTCGCAGGAAGCCGAGACGCTGAGGAGGGCGTCGCGCTCGCCGTGGCGAGCATCAGATCAAGGCGTGGAACAGTAAGGACAGGAATATATTAGCGCTCCTCCAGGCGACGCTCAAGCCAGTCCTCCAGACGGCGCACAGGAACCGCTTCGCCTCCTCAGTCGCGATCGACACCTACACGATGCCGTCCAAGCACGCGATGATCAGCCACGTCAGCGCCGAGCTGGAGGGACACAAAGGCCTGCGGTCGCAGGGCGCGGAGGGCAAGGCGAGGATGAAGCAGATCGGCCCCCCCGCAGCCAGCCTGGCGCTGGCGGCCCTGGAGGGCCTCATGGAGTGCGACATCGGCGGCGGCATCAAGAACGAGATGCGGACCTACCTGCGCAAGCGATCCCCCGAGGACGCGGAGGCGGAGCCCGACGTCGACAAATCGGACCTGGAGGTCGCCGTCAGTTTCATTCGCCTGGAGAGCTGCTACGACACGCAGAAGATGAAGGTCGTCGTGGGCGCCCCCAGCTGGGATGGGGCGCGCTCTCATTCAGAGGGCGCTGAAGGCAGAGGCAGTCGCGACCCACCGCAAGGGGGTAGCCCCTGCAGGATGGCTCGAGGACGAAGTGGGCCACTGGCTGGAGACGATCAGCGTCGACTTCTAGAGCCCGTCAGATTTGTGGGTGGAGGGTTTCTGCCGGCCTCGAGCGCTGTCCCAGCGAGAGCGACCTCTGCCGCGCCCCGCGCCCCACCAAGCGAGCCAGGCTCGGAGTCGGGCCCAGGTTTGCCAGCGCAGACTTCCGACCCCGAGCCTTTCGATGACTACGAGGCCGAGGGCCTCGTCGCAGCAGAATTTTATTCATAGCTTCGCCCCGCGTGCCGCCAGCCCCCCGCTGTGTTTAGCACCCTGGCGGCACCGCTCTGAGCAGCGCTCGAGAGTCACCGCTCTCTGCGACGAGCTTCAACTTTTTGCGAGATGATATGCGCAATGATCTCCTTTCTTTTGGCTCTGACGTCGTTGGAATGATGATGATGATGGTGATGTTGATGTTGCTGATGCTGATGATGATGATGATGATGCGGCTGCTGCTGATGATGATCTTGCTGCTGATTGTGAGATTTGAGTTTCGAGGCGGATAGTTTAGAAACGATGTCCTATCTGTGCGCGAGACTATCCGAGCTTCAGTGATTCATGAAAGGTGTGCTGTCCATGGGGGGGGGGGGGGGGGGTCGTGCCATTTTGGCTCAAGACCCCAAACCCATATTCCCTCTCCATTCTCCCCAGACATCCACCCGACCATCTCCCCTCCACTTTCCATTGCAGTGCGTGTGCTGTGACTGCGACCGACGGCCTCGTGGTGACAAGACGGTCTCAGACATTCGTATTCTCGTCGCTGTGGTCTTTCGGGCGACAGTGGCAGTGGAGCGTGAAGCTCCAATTCCGCGGACCATGGCGGCAGCAGCGGCGAGGACGGATGATAATATGGAGTCGCCCCCCGCCGCAGGGGGGCAGGCAACGAACGCGCTGGCAGTGGTGGCTGAAGCTCCCATGGGGCAGGGTCTTGACACAGAGGCAGCAAAGCGACTGTCTCAAGAGTTTTGTCGGCTGTTTCGCGACTCCGAGGCGACCAAGCGCGACGATGACCTCCAGCGAGGCTCGACGTCGAACGACGGAGCGCCAGGTGTCGAGCAGCAGAGGTAGCAGCGGGGGGGTCCGCGGTAGCAGGAGGAGCACGACCCGTGGCGTAGCGGCTGGAGTGAGCAGCTGACGGGCAGCCCACCAGCCGGTGCAAGGTCCGGGGCCTCTGGCCCGTCGGGGACGCACCACGGCTCGGGCTCCAGAGCCTGGCAATGGCAGGGCTGGCACCAGAAAGGCTCTTGGGGCAGGAAGGAGGCCGAGAACAGGTGGGACCGAGCGACAGATACGTGGTCCCGAGCTGGGTCGGAGTGGGACTTTACACCACTACTGGGAGCCCCCTGGTCAACGACGGCGCCCGAGTGCCGAGCGGGGCCACGGCGGCTGGCACGCTGGAGACGACGAGCCCAATCACCACTGGCGCAATTCCAGCGATGACCAGCCGAAAGGAAAAGGATTCTGCCGATTCAGAGAAGTGGGGCAACTGGGCGAGTTACCGAATGTGGCGCCAGAAGATTCAGAGGTGGCGTCGCGCGACGGACATCGCAGTATGGATGCAGGGAGATCGACTGTTCAAGGCGCTAGACGCCGGCCTCCAGAGGAAGCTGGAGGACATTTCTGACGACATTTTGTGCAGCGACGAGGGCGTCGACGCTATCATAGGACGCCTCGACTTGATGTCGGGAGAGCGCCATGGCGATGAGCGAGGAAAGGTCGCGAGAGAGTGCCTGCTTGATTTTGCGCGCAGACACAACGAGAACCTCACGGCGTACTGCGCGCGGATCGATGCGGCCTTGAATCGCGCGGTTGCCCAGGGCCTGGTGATGCCGGACGAGTGGCAGCTCATGCTCTTCGAGGAGGGCGTCGGCCTGACCCGGCAGTCGGCGCAGTCGGCAGTCGGGCCTTCCATGAAGGGATGGATCCTTGAGATGGACATCAGTCACCGCGAGCGTCTACAGCGACCACAGGGAAGGCTGGCCCACGTCGCGCACGACTCCAGCGGCACGGCCTCGATGCAGACGCAGGGGGCTGTTCCTCCACCTCCTGTCCCTCCATCGTCGTGGCAGGTGGAGGGCGACGCCGCCGACGACTCCCTCATCGACTATTCAGACGTCTCCCCCATGGCCTCAGTTGGCGAGATGGCTGTGTTTGCAGCGCTGGAGGCGGCTGACGTCGGAGAAGATGACGCCCCGGAGGCTCTGGCAGCGATCGACGAGGAACGTCGCGAGACATGGAAGGAGAGAAACGATCTGAAGAGGCGTCTCAAGGTCGACCGGAAGTTCTTCGATATCTCCAGAGCTCGCGGCGGTGATGGGCGCGAGAAACCTCGCAGGCCTAGCCGCGGAGCGGCGGGCGGTGCCTTCCGACCGCGCAAGAACCGATTGCCACTTGCCGAGCTGATCAAGCGGACGAGATGCCGCCTGTGTCACCAGAAAAGACATTGGTCGAAGGAGTGCCCGAATAAGTCGAGCATTGGCGGCGGCAGTAGGCCGCCCCAGAAGCCTGAGCAGGGCTCCTCGCCTTTCGCAGGCCTCAGTTTCGTGCGCGTGAGCGCGCTGGGTGGTTTCTCAGCGCGCGCGACCGAGGGGCCCGCTCATCCTCCCCCGCCCTCCTACGCCGCCGTTCTTTTGTCCGCGGGTCCCGGGGCCGTGATCGCGGGCGCCGCGGCTGGGCAAGGCCTCTCGGGAGAACCGGCTTTGTGCAAGAGCGAGAGGCACCGGGCCTCAAGGGGGCTCTCCATTCCCAGGGCGCCTCCTCGAAATCCTCGGGCCCGCGGAGTAGGTGGAGGCGCGCGTGTTTCAAGCGCGGCCCTGTTTCGTTCAGGCATTGAGGGCTGCGCAGGGGTCATCGAGCTGGGCGTTCTCGAAGAAGACGCCCCCCATTGGTCTCCAGGGAATGCTCGGAGGTATCGTGGATCTCCCGGGGGGCATGACCAAGCGGGGGGTCGACGCAGAGATGAATCGTCCTCCGTCGGCTCATCGCGCGATTCAGGTAGACGTGTTTGGCAGAGCAGCTGACTTTGCGCCGCCCGAGTCCGTCATCCGAGCATGCCCGCAGCTTTCGAGGGGCGTGCAAATAGACTGAGGCGCCGCAGGGTCCAGCGCCAAGGTCGTCGGACGACCCGCCTCCGAGCTCCTTGGTCGAGGCGCCGAACGGTGCCTAAGCCGCCGTTGGCCGCCTCCCAGATGGGCGTTCCATCACAGTGGCCACCGCGGACAGGGCTCTGAACATCTCGGCCGCCCAAGCCACCTTCAGTCTGTTCGGCGTCATCACATTCATGGAGGTGCTGTGCGAACACGCCGCAGTGCGCTACTCCACCTTGGCGGCTGCGCGCAAGGCTGCCGACTGCCTCAACGGCAAGGCGCTTTGGTCTGGAGTCTAGCACGTCTATTCGGGCGGGCCCGAGGACCAAGCAATCACCTGAGAGTTCCCTCTCGCTACCAACCTTCTCTTCCTCCTGCCTCCCAGTCTGCTCTCGCTGCATTCCGTCCGCGTCCGTTTCTGTCGCTAACCTCCTTCCCTCTCTTGTGGGGCGGGCGCGGGCTGGAGAACATCAGGTGGGGGATGGGGGGCGGTGCGACGCCCGCTACAATTGGAGCCCTTCCGCCGGACAGTATCCCCATGTCCTCCGGAGGAACTGCTTGGGCCGCCGCGGTGACGGGCCCGACCCCCCGACGCCCTGGGAACCCAGAAGAACAGAAGAGCGGGCCCACTGCGTGCCTTTTGCCCGCCGCCCTACGGCGCGCGCAGCGCCGGCTCCAGCCGCCTGCCCCGCCAGCCCACGCCGTCACTTTGGCAACGGTTCGCTCGTGCTGCATTTCCCGCGCCCCGCTTTCAAGACCACAGGCCCAGACCACCGAGGCCCCGCGGGCTGCGACGCGCCGCCGGCCCCGCCGCCGCTTCTGCCGCCGCTCGCCCGCCGTGCCTGTCCCGCGCCCCATTTGAAGCCACATGCCCGGGCAAGCGAAGCCCCGCGGGCGGCGACACGTCATTGGCCCAAGGAGGAGGGGGAGGAGGAGGAGGAGGAGGAGGAGGAGGAGGAGGAGGAGGAGGAGGAGAAGGAGGAGGAGGAGGAGGAGGAGGAGGAGGAGGAGGAGGAGGAGGGCCGACTACTACCACAATTATTCCGGACCAAGGTCCGTGGCCTGGAAGTCCCCCCAAAGCTCTCTTCCCTGGGGAGGTCTGTGGGTTCTCTGAGGTGTGGGCGGTCCCCCTCGCCCCCCTCGCCCGCCTCCCCTTGTGTTTCCCTTTTGTGCTGGTCTCTCTCGCCTCCAGGTAACCCCGCTTTAACCAGCAAGACCGCCGAGTGCCGCAGCGAAAACGCCACCGCTGCCGGGCACCTTAGTTCGATCAGCTCCCTAACGGGCAACTGCCCTTGGGGGGAGGGGATGGCATCTTCAGGTGGCCTACGTGACACCAGTGAGAAAGTGAGAGGGAGGGAGAAACATACAAAAGAGGGAAAACGGATATATATATATATAGAGAGAGAGAGAGAGAGAGAGAGACATAGCAAAGAGTGAAACCAGAGAGAGAGAGAGAGATAGAGAAAGAGGACGAACAACATACATAAGTATATAAGCAGAGAGAAGCGGTGGATGAGGAGGAAACGATGTGAAGTTTAATGATGATGATGATGATGATGATGATGATGACGATGATGATGATGATGATGATGATGATGATGATGATAATACTGATGCTGATGCTGATGCTGATGCTGATGCTGATAATATTGATACTGTGGCTGATGCTGATGAGGATGACGATGACGGTGTTGATGGTGATGTTGTGGATGATGACGTTGTTGATGTTGCTGCTGGTGATGATGCTGCTGGTGATGATGATGGTGGTGGTGATGCTGCAGATGATTATGACGATGATGATGATGGAAGTTGTACGTGAATGATCTATGCGCGCTCGTAATTAGTTTTTGTCGGTTCAAAAGCATGAGGCCAGAGATTGGCGTCGGTCTCCTCATTGTCGGACTTGCGAGGGAAGTCAACTCGCTAGCTTCACTTTCCAATCGACACCAGTGCTCAGATTGCTTCTGTGATTGCCGTCTGTATTCGGAGTGTTTGAAGACGGCCAACTGTGTGTGTCCGCTTCCGCAGGTGCGGCAGCCCGAGTGCGGGAGCCGCCCGACTTCTTCGTCAGGTCGTGCTTCGTTACTTCTCGGGCGCGGGCGTCTCCCTTGCCAACATTGGCCTCTTGGGTGTGCTACTCGGAGCAGCAGCTGGTGGTCTACTCGCTCGGATTGGCGGTCCTCGCCGTGTTGCTGCCTCTCTTCGTGGAGGTCTCGGTCGCATCGAACAGTGACGGCGGGCATCGTGTTAGCGTCGCCAGGAGGCTATGACACCTACTGGTACGAGGGGGGTTCTTACAGGCATGGTCGGATTTTGCTGAGGGGAGTTAAGGCTCTGGATGACAAAAGTATCTGGGAGGGGCCTGCGCCTGTTGTCTATGTCTGCGCGAGGTTGTGGACAGCTACTGGTGATCGCGGGTCGATCAGAGTTGAGGCGGAACCCTGGGACAAGCTATCGGTGCTGAGGGCCAAGGTGTCGCAAGTCACCGGGTTCGTTGGGCTCAAGGAGACGTCGCTCGTGAGGGTGCAGGGCGACCAGTTCGCGAAGTTCGATGGCCGCGACTTCACCAACTTAGGCTCGGTCGTCGTGGCGCTCGAGTGCTTCAAGGTGGACGCTTTCGGCGGCTACTTCGCGGGCCGCAAGTTCCCTCTCTTGGCGGGCCTAGGTGTTACTCACTCGCTCGATGATCGTGATGGAGACCCTGGGTCGCCCGTGGGGCGCTACGCGCTGCTGGGGGACTTTGCGTGTCTGCAGCTCCCTGGGGCAGGTGAGGGGCCTGACAAGACGTGGGGAGAGGTCGCGAGCACGCTTGCGGAGAAGTCCAAAGCTTTCACCCGCAGAGTGCGCGTCTGGGTGGTCTCGGTCAAGGAGATGGTTGAGGACGCCTTCTTGGCCTGTGCCGTGGATGGTGCACGGGCTCTCCTGTGGTTGAAGACATCGTTGATTCAGCTGGGGATGGTGCCCACGTTCTGGTTCACGCGCCATCACCTGACGGCGCGTTGCAGTGAGAACGATCGCTCCTCTCAAGAGGTGCGGGAGATGGAGGGGGTTTTCGAGCTGGCTGCCTCGCACGATTGGTGCAACGCCTTTTCGCTCGCGGTCTCCTTGAAGTCGGGGCGGAGAGGGCAGTTTGAACCAGAGGCTCATGGTAAGAACCAGATGATCCCGATCCACGAGATGGCCGACATGTTCTCGTGCTGCAACCGCCGAAGTCAGTTTGCGGTGCCTGAGCCCTGCACCTACGCGGCCAAGGTGGTACAAGAGTGGGCGGATATCGTCAGACAGACCAGCAAGGCCGAGGCTTCGAAGGACGAGGCCGAGGTCGCCCTCGAGCGTGGTATTACCGCAGGGAAGGGCAAGGACAATGAGGAGGACAAGGATGAGTGACGCCTCCACCCTTGCCAGCAAGATCAGAGATAGCGTTTGCCGCAGTCGCCGCGCGGTAGGCACGCTGACAGGCGAGAGTGACGCGCAGGGAGCACGACGAGTGCCGCTGTTTCCGCTCGAGTTTTGTAACCACTCGGCTCCTCCGCCGACGCGTCTCTCGAGGAGATGCAGGCGGAGGGCCAACCTCCGGAGCCATCAATCGCGTGAGTTCGGGGAGGTCCTGACGGGCCTCAACTGGTTGTATTCCCGAGCTTCGAGCCCACTCGTTCGCCAAGAAGTGGTGAGTGAGATACACGATTTTGTTGCGGGTCGGGTTGCCCAACAGCCGCCCGCGCCGCCTTTTTTGAGCAAGGAGGGAGCCGTGCGCGAGCTCCTCCAGAGCAAGTGTGGTTATGACCACGCAGCCTCCACTGTCGTCGAGTTCGATCGAACCCTCGTCTCACTGCCCGAGGGGGTCCAGGACAGAAAGCTGCTTCAGGACTTGGTCTCCCAGGAGGACAGGGAGGCGGTGGTGAACTTCAAGGAGGGCATGATGAGAGATGTGAAGGAAGTGATGCAGATGAGAGACTACGGCGAGTGTATTAAACCATATTTTGATCAGAAGCTTCGCACTCGACGGCACGAGTACGTTCGCTTTTTAAAGATGTTGCACAGGCGTGGTCTGATCAGGTGGTCGACTACGCCCAAAGAGATTGCCGCGCCGTTTTTCGTTCGGAAAAAGGATGGGAGGCAGCGGCTTATCATCGATGCGAGGCGCACAAATCAGCTCTTCCGAGATCCTCCTAGTACTTTGTTGGCCACGCCCGAGAGTTTCGCCCGCTTGGAAGTGGAGGAAGGTGTTGAACTGTATGAGGCCTCTCTCGACGTGGACAATTGCTTCCGCAGAATAGGTGTAGACAGCGACTTGGGCGATTACTTTTGCCTTCCCCCCGTTCGAGCACGCGAGCTAGGGCTTGCGCATGTTCGGGGACGGGAGATTCCTGGAGACGGTCTTGTGTGGGCCGCCATGGCCGTGCTCCCCGTGGGCTTTTCTTGGTCAGTCTCCTGGGCCCAGCGTATCAATACCCGCTTGGTAAGGGAGGCGTCTGGGATGGAAAGCTCCGTGGCGGTGGGGGACAGAGGGCGGCCTCGCCATAGGTAAGGGCTCCGCGCCCGTCTTTTACGTGTATGTGGACAACGTGGGGGTCTTGGGAGCTGACGAGAAAGAGGTCCAGAAGTCCCTGGAAAACATCAGAAACGTTCTTAACGCCAACAAGATGCAGTGCCGCGAAGTTCAGGAGGCTGGGCAGGTTAGGCATGCTCTTGGGATCGAGTTCAATGGGAAACTAAAGTGTTTCAGGCCTTCGGGAAAGCGATACTGGAAGATTCGTTTGACTCTGGAGGCGTTTTTGGAGGCGCCCAAGGTAACTGGAAAAGCCCTTGAGGTTCTTCTGGGACATTGTACCTACCTCGCTATGCTACAGCGCCCTTTACTCTCCTGCTTCGCCTCGGTCTACAAGTTCGCTCGGAGGTGCCGGCACTCTTGGGCTCCATTGTGGGCGACGGCGCATGAAGAGCTCGAGGCGTTCCTCTACCTCATGCCCCCTATCCGCTCGGACTGGTCCCGGGGCTGGCTTGGGAATGTGTTAACGTATGATTCCTGTCCCGAGGGAGCGGGGGCTTGCGTTGCTACCAGGTCCTCTGCCTGGGCGGCCGCTCAGGGAAGAGTCCAAGAGAGAGCTAGATTTGTTCGTCGTGACGCTGCGCAGGCTCGTGGGCACGCTCTTTCTTGCCTCGACCCTGATGACCCGCTTGTGTTTGTGACGCCACCGCCGTCTCTCGAGGGCGTCTCGGAGCTCTGGGAGCAAGACCTTTCGTTTCCCGAGGTACCGCTCGAGGGGCTTGTAGGGAAAGACTGGAAGGTGCTTTTCTGTCATTCCTGGAAAAGAAAGATGACAGTACATGAAGGAGAAGCCAGAGCTGGAGTCCTTGGGATCGCTAGCGTCGCCCTGGAACCTGGAGTTCATAGTTGTCGCCTTCTGGCTCTTGGGGATAACCTCGGAGTCGCGCTCAGCTTTGCGAGATCCAGGGCCCGTGCTTTTCCTCTCCTGGTCCAGGTTCGGCGAGCGTCGGCGCTGTCGTTGTCCCGTAACCTTTTCGTGGGATTCAGGTGGGTCCCGAGTGAGTTCAACATCTCCGACAAGCCTTCGAGGGGCCCTGGTCTGCGGCGTTGGGATGCAGTCGAGTTGATCGTCACACCTGATATATGTCGTCTCGCTCGAGGCCAACAGGGGCCCGTAGCCGTTTCGGCCAGAAATGAAGTTTCACAATGCTCTACTTCGGTATTGGATTGGGCTCGTCATGTGCTTGGTGAGGAAGGCGAGGAGAGCGGCGACGACGGACGAGAGGGAAGTTCGGTCGCCTCTTCATCGGACGGACCGTGGAGAGAGGTGGCGAGCTAGTCTACATCGGGGTCGCGTCCGCCTCGCCACGCCAGTACTTTTGGACGGGGCGGAGGGGGGGTCCAGCCGCCCGGACGATTTGGACGGCGCGACTTCGGAGGAGGATGGCAACCCGTCCGTGCAGGAACGCATGCTGGAGTGCGAGCCCCTCCATGCGAAGATGGCAAAGGATCCAGGTATGCGACGCGTTTTGGTGCCAGGACGAAGCTCGGCAGGAGATCGAACCTGGACACAGCGTCGAGAGTCATATCTAAGTCTGGTCGCATGCGTCGACGAGTGCAGGCTGGACACCGACAAAGTGCAGGACTCCAATGTGGACGCCGTCGACTTCATGACCCACAGGTGTATGCTGGGCTTCGAGGCGGGCGTCGACCAGAGGTGGATCGATGCCTTTTTGCTCTTCCTCCCTCGTTTCGGCGTCCCTGCCCCGCCGACTATGAGGGCCGACGCTATGTGGCGCGGGCATGCGCACAGGTCAGACCTCCACCAGGGCTCGAAGGTTGGGAACCAAAGCAGTTTCATCTTGTGGAGAACTCAGGGTTTTGACTGTATGGCCGACTATCTTCACTTTCTAGCCGTCGTGACAGATGACACCGTGTGGCAGTTTACCCAGCGATCAAGTGTGGGATTTTGTATACAAGGCCGAACGTTCGGCCAAGACATTGAGAAGTACCAGGTACGCCATGCGGGTGCTCCCTGGACATATATCGGAAGCATCGCAGACGTTACTCTGTGCAACGTCGTGGAGGTTGGATGTTTACCAAAAAAGGTGCAGCGCGGCGAGAAGCCATGCATGATGATGATGAAAGGCTACGCTCGGCTTCCTTTGCCGCTGCACTGCTGGTTGAGGAGCAGTTGTGCACGCTGGAAAAGTGACTTTCTGAGGCCGCGCAGTGCTGCCGCCGCCGCCGCTCTTTTGCAGTGCCCGTGCAAAGCGTGTGCTACGCCCCTCAACACAGCTGAATAGGTGACACATCATGTTATGGGTGATATGGGTGAGTTTTGAGCCGCCGTGCATCTGCCTACCCACGCTCGTGTGCAGTCAGACGCCAGACGGCTCTGGCATCAGACACTAGGAAACTGAAAAGCAGAGCGCGGGGGGGATCATGGAAGTTGTACGTGAATGATCTATGCGCGCTCGTAATTAGTTTTTCGGCTCCCCGTGGCCTGACCCAAGCCATTTTTCATTCCTTCGTATCGGGTGAGTTTTGAGCCGCCGTGCATCTGCTTACCCACGCTCGTGTGCAGTCAGACTCCAGACGGCTCTGGCATCAGACACTAGGAAACTGAAAAGCAGAGCGCGGGGGGGATCATGATACTGATGTTGATGATGGTGATGGTGATGGTGATGGTGATGGTGATGGTGAGGAGAAGGAGGAGGAGGAGGATGATGGTGAGGATGGTGATGCTGAGGATGGTCATGATGATGCTGCTGATTATGATGCTGATGCTGATTATGATGTTGATGATGGTGATGATGATGATGGTGATGATGCTGCTGGTGATGATGATGATGGTGGTGATGATGCCGATGATGATGACGATGACGATGACGATGACGATGACGATGATGATGATGATGATGATGGTGGTGGTGATGATGATGCTGGTGATGTTGATCTGGATGATGATGCTGCTGCTGATGCTGATGCTGGTGATGATGGTGGTGGTGGTGATGATGATGATAATGATACGTAGGAGGAGCAGGAGGAGGAGGTGCGTCGGGCAGATGCAAATACTCTGCCACAGGGGTGATTCCTCAGTCTCCTTGATCTGCGCTAGTGCCCGACTGATGTGGTGTGCTTTGTGTGACTCATCTGAACTGGTCTTGGAAGAGGAGGAGGGGGCAAAGGAGGAGGAGGAAATTCTAGGTTCCAGGATGAGTCTGGGCAGTCCTTTTGATAGCTGAGGGTCTTGTGCATACGGTTGGCTCGCGACGCGTTGACGTGGTGGCTGCCCCACCGCGAGCGTTTGAGGCAGAGTGCCGCCAGTGGCCCGGAATCGGCAGGTACCGAAGGCTGTATGCTGCTGGAGCGCCGCGACTGACCGAAGGATCCACGCTGTGTCAGGAGCCGATGCCGACCCAGACACGCGGCGCCTTTGTTTTTTTCACTGCGCGGTCCCCAGACATCCCGACCTTTCCCCAAGGGCCGTCTTGTCATCCTGGGCCGTGTTTTGATGGTCCTGGGCCCCGGGCCCCGGCCACGAGGGGCCGCACACGGCCAACAGACTCTCGTCGTGATCTTTCAACCTCGCGAGCATGTTTGGGGACGCAGCTTTTGCAGTGCACTTTTCTCGGTGGCGAGCCCAGGAGAGAAGCGAGATGGGGCGGTCCTTATCATAAGGCTTGGAAGCCCCCCTGGCCTTTTGAGAAGTTGCCTGCCTTCCGCGAAGACACAGACAACTTCCCAGAAGGCTGGAGGGCTTCTGAGAAGCCCCGCCGCCTTCTGAGAAGGCCTTCTCCTTCTCACCTTCCCCCTCGCTCGCCGCCGAAGTTCGCCGCACAGCTGCCCCGTGCCGCTCGACCGACCCTCGCGCCCGCCGGGCCCGAAACGACAAAGTCCGGAGACGCCACGGCGACGTGCCGCTGCCGTGCTCCTCGCCTCCCCCTGCAGACCTCCAACGCCTTGAGAAACTCAAGGCACAAGGCTTTTGACAGCTTTCGGCCTCACCAGACCCCCTCGAGGCCTTTACCGGGCTTCGGGACCGTCGAAAATCGACTCAGGATGAAACACCGGACCCGGGGAAAGGGTCGAGTTTTCCGAGGGTCCACGTCATGAACAAAATCATGACGTCGGGGGTCTGGGTCTGGGGGCCCTCGCCAGCCCCCGGGGCCGTTAAAAAACGAGTCAGGGTCCCCGAGGCATCCAGGTGTCCGCCTACGTCGACTCTGGAGAGGACCGGCTGTCCGCCTTTGTCGACCCCCTCGAGGACCGGCCGGTGAGCAGGCTGTCCACCTATGTCGACCCCCTCGAGGACCGGCCAGTGAGCAGGGGCGGCGACGTTGTCGAGCCCCTCGAGGAGAGGCCGATCAGCAGGCCGCGGGGGTCCCGAGATCCTGGCGTGGCATTTTTTTTCGCATGGGGCCGAGAGGGGTCTCGGGCCCTTTTTGTGCGCATTTGCCCTCTGACCGATTTTCTCAGGGTCTATCCAGCGAGAGCTCCACGTAAAACAAAACATCGACACCACTTAACAACCAATACCGAAATCACATCGTGGCATATCGTAAAACAACGCCATGCACAACACACAACGTGAACAACACAGCGTTCAACACACACACACAGCGTACACATCACTACGTAATACACACTACGTAAACACACCGCGCGCACAAACACAACGTACAAACAATACAGCACCTACACAGTACTACATGACATCGTAACACAAGTCGAATCAAGCACAAGGTTCACCACAGCGAACAAAACAATAGTGTACAACAGCACCACACAAACCAATATGTGCAAACCACCTCGCAGAACAAAATACCACTTCTACACCAGTCTAAGACATCACAGCACATCGTAAACAATGCCGAAAAGCAACACCACGTAAAACACACACAGCGGAAACACATACAGCTCAAACCATTACGTAAACAAAACACCACATACACAAATCACGTAAAAACAAACATCCACAACGTACCGCATGACACCGTCACACCAAGCCGACAAACAAAACACAGCGTAGAGCACACTGCATAGACACTGTGTAGAATTCGCTGCGTCGAAAACACTGAAACACTGTGTGCAAAATAGCATTTGGGCCTTGTCAACACCTCCATCACACTCTACCGCAAGGGCACGCCTCCAAGAGCGATGAGTTTGAAGAGGCGCCCGCCCAAACAAAAACAAAACAACACAACGTGGAAAGCACTGCTTGGAAAACACTGCATAGAAAACACTGCATAGAACACGCTGCGTGCGGGCTTCGTCAACACCTCCCATCACACTCTACCGCAAGAGCACGCCTCAAATCACGTGAATGTAAAGGCGTCTGCCAAACCAAGGAAATGGTCCGCGAATAAGGATCAGAAGTGCGCGCACACAGTTGTTTTTGGCATGCTCCTTTAAACTTTCCTTTTTGGAGGCGCGGTCTTGTCTGCAGCAATTGTCTGGTTCGTTGCGTTGCCCCTCTTTTTGCCCGAGGGTTCTCACCTCCAAGAGTGCAGGTGTCTGCAAAAGGAACACAAGTTTGCGCGAAGGAATCTGGAATGCGCGTCGAAGTACCCCGAAGGTACCTGCGGGGTTCTTCGCGGTCCTTTGGCAGACGCATGTGATAGTGAAGCTGCGAATTTTCCGGCAAACCGCGGTGCTATCGCTATCACAAGATACCATTACGAAAAAACCACGTAAACGAACACAACGCAAACAAGCAAACATTTTTGACATTGCCGCATGACATCGTAAAACCAAACCGTCTAAAAGTCCCAGATTTTTTATATATAAACAACAAACACCACGACGTAGAGAACACCTCTTAGAAAACACAGTTCTGAAAACACTGCGTAGAAAACGATGTGAAACATCACTGCGTAGAAACACTGCGCAGAAAACACTGCGCAGTTCAATATAATTCACCGTTAAGGGTAACTCTTCCTTGCCTTGGACCGCAAATCGCGTCGATGATCGCTTCGGGAAGGCGTCTGCCCTGCACCCGGATACGGCGTCGGAGACACTTGCATCCGGGACGGAAGGGGGAAGCAGCAGGTAACACATCAGCGCCAAGAGTCCCCGACCCCTCTTTCCTAGCGGCCCAAGCGTGCGAGATCCCCAGCACAGCGCCCGGGCTGGCACGCGCGCATCAAGAGGTGCTTACCAGTCTGCCCCGACCTCCCGCCACGAAGCGACAGCCTGGGCGATGTGCTGAGTGGAGTCTGCGCCGAGCCTCCGGTTTGGAAAAAGTCAATTGCGACCTATTCCGATTAACATTTTCCTGGTGGCAGGCGACCGACTCTCTCCGGGCTGGGCCAGCCGAGGGCGATTCGGCGGCTTCGGTAGCAAATCATGGGAGCCCTGTATCGAAGACGCCTACGGCGAATCACCGCCGCCACTTTCCTTTTGGAATTGCCCATGTAGCCGAGCGTTGTGGCAAGAGCTCTGCCAAGCTAGCGGACCATGTGTTCCCCCAGCCGTTGTGGAAACCCTTCCGGGAACATTTGGGGGAGGATGGCGGGGAAGATCAGGAGGGGGATGATGATGACGATGTTGCTTGTGATGATGACGATGATGATGCATGATGATGGACGATGATGATGATGCTGATGATGCTGATGATGACAATGATGATGATGCTGGTGGTGGTGATGATGATGAGGATGATTATGATGACGATGCTGATGATGATGATGATGATTATGGGTGATTGGTGATTGATGATTGATGGTTGATGGTTGGTGATGATGGTGGTGATGATGTTGATGATGATGCTGATGTTTATGCTGATGCTGATGAGGGCGATGCTGATGCTGATGATGCTGCTGCTGCTGATGATGTTGATGCTGATGCTGATGCTGCTGCTGCTGCTGATGATGATGATGATGATGATGATGATGCTGCTGATGATGATGATGATGATGAAGAAGATGAAGATGCAGATGCAGATGCAGATGATGATGATGATGATGCTGATGCTGCTGATGATGATGATGATGATGATGATGGTGGTGGTGGTGGTGGTGATGATGATGATGATGATGATGATGATGATGATGATGATGATGATGATGATGATGATGATGATGATGATGATGATGATCAGGCGGAGGGGGGGGAAGAGGAGGAGGAGGGAGGAGGAGGAGGAGGAGGAGGAGGAGGAGGAGGAGGAGAGGAGGAGGAGAGGAGGAGGAGGAGGAGGAGGAGGGGAGGGGGAGGGGGAGGAGGAGGAGGAGGAGGAGGAGGAGGAGGAGGAGGAGGGGGCATCTTGGGAGCCTCTGGAGGCACTCGTTGGGCCTCCTGGGAGCTTCGCGTGAGCATCTTGGAGGCATCTTGGGGGCCTCCTTGTCCTCTTGTGGGCCTTTGTGGGCTTCTCGGGGGCCTCTTTGGCCGTCTTCGTGCATTCCTGGCCCGTCTGACGCCGTCGGGAGCCGTTTTGAGGGCCTCTCCGTTCTGGGGCCATCTTGGAGGCCTCTTGGGCGATCACGGGGCGGTCTTGGGCTCTTGGGCCGTCTCGGGCCGTTGGGAGGCCGAAAAGAAGCAAATGCCCAAATCCTTCAAACACCAACGGATAATCGATGATGTTGGCCTCTTCGGGCCTTCCTGGATATTGGAGGCCTCTTGGGCCGTCCTGGAGGCCTCTTGGGGGCCCCTAGGGCCGTCTTTGCCCTTCTTGGAGCCGTCTTGGGCCGTCTTGGTGGCCTCCTGGCCCGTCTGACAGTCGGGAGCCGTTTTGGCGGCCTCTTTTGGCCGATTTGGGGTCCTCTCGGGGTGCTCCGAGGCCCTCTTGGAGGCCATCTTGGGCGTCTCGGAAATCTCTTGGGCCGTCTTGGGGCCCTCTTGGGGCCGTCTTGGGGGCCTCTTGGGGGCCTCTTGGGCCGTTCTGGGGCCATCTTGGAGGCCTCTTGGGTGACCACGGGGCCATCTTTGGGCTCTTGGGCCGTCTCGGGCCGTTGGAAGGTCGAAAAGAAGCAAATGCGAAAATCCTTCAAAAACGAAAGGATAATCAATGATGTTGGCCGCACCGGGCCTTCCTGGAGGCCGCCTCTTGGGCCCTCTTGGAGACCTAGTGTGGGTCATGGGAGCCCTGTCTCGAATGGCCTTTGGCTCATCCCGCCACCGTGCCTGAAGTGCGGGTCAGAGTCCTCAGGGATGCTTCTAGAGGTTCTCTTGGGGACAATTCTGGGGCCTCTCGGGGACAGTTTTGGGGCCTCTTGAGAGCCTCCTGGGGCCGAGGGCTCGACATGTCCGTTCGGGTCCCCCGTCTGGGCCCCCTCTCGGAGCCGTCTTGGGGCCTCTTGGGCCGTCTTGGGGGCTCTGGGGCCGTTTGGCGGCCTGCTTTCACGCCTCGTGGACCGTCTTTGGGCGATCTTGGGGGCCTCTGGCCCTCTTTGAGCGTCGGGGAGCAGAGAAGGCGAGAAAGCCAACATCCCTAAAGAACCGACGGAAAATCAATAATGTTTGCCTATTGGAGTCCTCTTTGGAAGCCCCTTGGAGGCGTCTTGGTGTCGTGGGGGCTTATTGGGCCGTCTTAGGGCCATCTTGGGCATCTTGGGGCGACCTTTGGGCGACTCTGGGCCCTCTTGGACCGTCTTGGGGGCCTCTTGGGGCCCTGTTGGCCCGTCTTGGGGGCCTTCTTCTTGAGCCCAGAAAGGCATGTGAGACGATGCCCCAGAGCCCAGGGGAATCGCGCCAAGCCGAAGAAGATTTGAGAATTCGGGGTCTGGGCCCCTAAGAAACTGTCAGGAATGAGGACTGAGGCTTGAGGGATGAGGCAAAGGACCTGAGGACACGCCCACTCCATGCCCAGCGGTACGGTGGCGGATACCCTCACAATTCCGTTTTTAGAGTGCGCCAGGTTCGATCAGATTAGCGTATGGTCGTCAATGAGATAGCGCCGATTTGGCGTCGATTGGCGTCGATGTAGCGTGGATTTAGCGTCGACTGGCGTCGATTAGCGCCGATTCGCACAAACAGCCGAACCTACGAAACAACTAGAAAGTGCCGTTCGCAGGCTCGAACGATTCACTCCTGGGGTACCGTCAACTCTGTGGTCGATCTGCTGCCCGAGAGATGTGGAGGCAGGCGGTCAGAGGTGGGCTCCTCGAGGGCGGGGCGAGGCCTTGCCGTGGAAGGGCTCGTCGCGGAAGGGACACTGGTCAGCCCCAAAAGCGGCCCAGCGTGGGGCCAGGCGTGGGGCTCATGTCGGCTCCTCCGGCTCGATTCGACTCGATTCCGATACAGTCGGGGTCGATTAGTAGGTCGACCCTGCCAATCAAGGGTACCCTTGTGCCCTGTGTGTCGCGACCCGTGCCTCCTACATTCCTATGGCAATGTGGCCCTCGGAAGGGTCTTGCGTCCTATCGCGTGTCCTATTCAATCAATCCCGACTGTAGTCTGCAGGAGGGGACGAACTACCCACACCGCTGCCCTTCCCTCGTTTTCCCCTTTTGGCGCCTCCAGGGAGGCCTTCGTCGCCACCCCTGGATTTGCTTCGAGATTCTGTTCAGAACGCACCCTGGGAGAGCTCTGGGGAGTAGCGGCATCGGTACCTTTTGGTTTCCCCAGGCTTCCGATTCCGATTCGGTTCGACTTCGAATTTCGATTTGCGCTCTGGTGTTGTCTCAATGGTGGTCTATTGGCCTGCCGATTCTCGCCGATTCGACTTCTCCCGACTCGGCTGCCGAGGTCCACCGATCCGATTCATTTCGATCACCTGTCCGACTTAATTATCGATCCGATTCTGGGCTCCTGCCAGAAGAGGCGGCCTCAGGAGCGCCCCAGAGTCCCAGAGCGCCCCAAGAGGGCCCCGAGAGGCGGCCTTGAGGGCCCGACGAGGCATCGATGACATCCAAATGTGGCCCCTCCGAGGGCCCGCAAGGCCTCCTCCAAGCTGGCCCCAGAGTCGCCGGCGCCCCTGTGTCGCATTTGAAGGGCAGCGGTGGACAGAGGTCGGCGCTGACACACGTTCCCAGACATACCATGTCCTGATGTTTTTCACGCGGGGTCCCCGGAAATCCCAACCCCATTCCCTTGGGCTGCTTTCTCTTCGCGAGTAATTGTTGAAGGTTCCAGGGCCTGGCCAGGGCTCACAAAGGCCGAACACGGCCAAGCAGTGTTTTTTTTCGCGACGCGATCGCTTGTCTAGGTTCTGAGGACACTCGACCCCTGGCAGGCGATCGGTGCTGTTGGGCTGGGTCGGCGAGGCCCCCAGAGCGCCCAAAAGTCCAAGGAGGGCCGCGTCGCCGGCGCCCCCCCCAGCAGGCGCTCCGTGCCGCTGGGCTGGGTCGGCGAGGCCGACTGCGGCGGCGCCGCGCCCTCGCCGCGGCGCCTCGGCGCCGACGCGGCGGGGCCCGCAGCGCCCGCGGCGGCGCGGCCCGCTGCCGCTGCCGCCGCGGCGCCGGGTGGCGATCGTGGGCGAAGAACACGCGGGGAGCCCTGAGACAGGGGTCCGTGTGAAGGGGGGGTCAGCCAGAGCGCTGGATCTGGCAGGATCCGGTAGGATTTTCCAGGATCCTTCAGAGCGCGACTGACCCGGGTATGCATTGACCTGGGTCAGTAAGTCTCCGAAAATGTCCGTATCGTGTTGGATGGATCTCTCAAGCTCTCCGCCGCCTCAAGCGGTGTGCGTTCAGAGCAGGAGCGCAGCAAGGCCACGGGAGGGCGTGGCATTGACAGTGTAGCTCGGCACGCGTTTCAAATACGCTAGCGCCGGCCGGCGATCGTGGGCGACAAAAGGTACCCGGGTCCGTACGTATCCACATGGGGCAACGTATCCACGGGGGTCAGGGGCAAGGTTAGGGGGGATAGGCCCAGGGGGGGTGCATCGACCCCCGATGGCTCATTCATCGCCGACAGAGGCCCGATAGCCCCGCCCCGCCCAGGACCGTGCGGATGTGACATCGCCGCTCGCCGATGTATCATCGATGCGTCGCCGATTCCAAGTCGATGTCCCCCCCTCCTCCCTGAGCCAGTACCCGTGGGGGCGCCAAGATGGTCGCGCTTCGCCCGTCGCGGTCTGGGCCAGATGCTGCCGGAGCTGGTGCCTCTCTCCAAGGAGGCGGCGCGGGTGCGCGAAGACAGTCGCGCATCGCGGGGGGGCGATGCGCGAATGCAGGTCAGGTATCCGCGGCCTCGCGGGCCGGGCCCCTGGGCCGCGACCCCGCGAATACAAGGCTTTTTTTTCCGCGGGGGAGCGCGGAACGTATCCTTGCGACCGCGTATCCGCGGGATCCCGCCCCAGAGTCCAGACCGCGAGGGCGCGGATGCGAAGATGTTCGCTGCTCGTGAGGCGACGCGGCGGGCGTGCGCCAGGCGCTGGAGAGCCTCAGGCCGGCTGCAGGGCTTCAAGAGGATCCTGAGATCCAGACGTTGTTCGAAAACCCACAGTTTTCCTTGCAGTTTTCCCCATGGAGTCTTCCCTGCACTTTTCCCCACAGAGTTTTCCCCCTTGAGATCCTGAGATCCGGAGCTTCTCTTGCAGTTTTCCCCACAGATCGATGCTGCTCGAAAAGCGCCGCAGAGCGATTGGGTCTGGGGCTCCCGTCCTGACCCCTCGCACGCGCGAACGGCGCCGCGCCCAGACGGCGCCTCGGCGCATCGGCCCCCGCCGTGATTCTTCTCGGTGCTGCAGTCTTTGCCGCAGAGTCGGGGGCCCCTCGCCTCCGCGGCCCGACGCAGCTCGCCAAAGCCTGCGTCTCGATCCCGGGAAGGGTCGGGGGACCGATTTGCCTCGTAGGGGGGGCGGGCCAAAGAAGAGACAATGGCAGAAGCAGGAATTCTGGAGCTCCGACCGGATCTCTTGGGTCGGCGCTGGAGAGCTTCAGGCCAGCTGCAGAGCTTGAGAGGAGGCACGCCCAGACATGCTCGCGTCGCGAGAAAAATCACGGCGGACGGCTTTTGGCAGCCTTCGGCCTCTGGCCTCCAGGGGCCTTCTTCGATGGGCCCCAGGACCGTAGCAAAAACGACTCGTTATGAAACACGGCCTTGGGGAAAGAAAGGGTCGGGATTTCTGGACTCAGAACATGGGGCATATGCAAATTTTCGGAGCTGAGCGCGGAGTTCTCAGATCGGCGCTGCCTTCCCCCTCTGGCGGCGCCTCTGGCGCCGCCACCAGCTCCGCGCTCCAGTCGATCCAAGAAATCCGCGCGGACCTCCGAAAGTCGATGTTTGTAAGTACCGATGGCGATACTCTTGCCTTGTTTTCGCCTGTCTGGGCTTCCTGGTAGGTACTCGTCGCTACGGCTGGATTCGTTTCGAACTTCTCGTCGCAACGCACCCCAGGAGAGGTTCGGGGAGTAGCGGTATGGGTACCCTTGGGTTCTCTGGAGTTGCTGGCGACAGCGAGGGCGACGGCGAGGACGGCCACTGCCGACGATGAGGGGGGCCGGCGACGGCGCGGGTGGCGACGGTGTGGGTGGCGACGGCGGCGGCGACGATCTTGACCGACGACAATGAAGACGAGGACAAGAGCGTCGACGACGACGAGGACGACCGCGGCGAGGGCAAGGACGACGACGTTTCCGACATCGACGACGGCGAGGACAAGATGACGAGGACGACGACTATCGACGGTGACCGACGACCGACGACGAGTGATACGGCTGGTGCACAACGCATGTTCGATCAGCTGTTTTTTTGTTTCATAGGATCGATTCCTCCGATGTGTCGTCCATCTTTTCACCCAGTTGGTGCAGCTGTTCTTTTCTTCAGTGTCCACCGCCCCCTGGGGTCTCAGGATATCGGCTCCCAGACGTTGAATACTGATAGCGATTCCTTCGCGGTGAGGCAGAAGCTTGGGTTGGACGGAAAGGGCGGGGATTGGGCAAGTAGGAAGTACGACATAGTTGCTGCACATAGCTGGCTTCGCCCCCGCCGCTCGGCGCTTTGCTGGCACTCCAGACGTGTCCAGCCCTCCTCCCTCGGGCCAGTTGGCGGCGAGCCCGGGGGGGAAGTGAGAAGGGGCGGGCCTTCTCAGCAGGCTCGGAAGTCCCCTAGTCCACTGAGAAGTTTTCTAAGCCTGGCCCGAAGACGCCGAAAACATACCAGAAGGCCAGAGACCTTCTGAGAAGCCCCGCCGCCTTCTGAGAAGGCCTTCTCCTTCTCCTTCTCTGCTCGCCGCCGAGCTGGGCCCTCCTCCCTCGCGCCAGGCGCGACGTGGAGGCGGTGTTCGACAGGCACCGGGAGCTCTGCAGCAGGGACGGCGGGCGCGCCGTCGGGCACATGGATTCCCAGGACGCCGCCGCCCTCGGCGCCGTCGCCGCGGCCGCCGCCGCCGCGGCGGCCGTCGTCGCCCTCGCCGCCACGAAGAACTTTTCGTGGCGGCGGCCGTCGTCCTCGGCGTCGTCCTCGTCGCCGCCTTCGCCGCCGCCGCCGTCGCCGACGCCGCCGCCGTCGTCCTCGGCGTCGTCCTCGTCGCCGCCTTCGACGCCGCCGCCGTTGCCGACGCCGCCGCCGTCGTCCTCGGCGTCGTCCTCGTCGCCGCCTTCGCCGCCGCCGCCGTTGCCGACGCCGCCGCCGTCGTCCTCGGCGTCGTCCTCGTCGCCGCCGTCGCCGTCGCCGCCGCCGCCGCCGCCGCCGCCGCCGTCGCCGTCGTGGCTGCCGTCGTCGGGCGCACGGCCTCCCAGGAGTCGCGCCGGGCGCGCCCCCCGAGCCGGCCGTCGTCTCGGCAGCGGGCCGCGGAGCCGGCCGTGGGGACCCCATCGGGGGACGCCAGCAGTGCACTGGCACCATGTGGGGGCCAGGTTTTTTATGGCAGAATCTGGGCCTCCCAGGCGGGTTCCGAGTACATGGGGCGCTCCGCATCGCCGATGCATCTGCGATGTAGCTCGACGTGGAGCCCGATGTCTTCTCCACGCCGATGGCGACGATGGATTGCCGACGTCGTCGATGCATCGCCGATGCACCCGCGATGCATCGGCGATGCGTCTCGATCCTGCGACCCCATCTAGTCGGACCCTATCTAGGACCGGCGGCGAGCGAGGGGGGAAGTGAGAAGGAGAAGGCCTTCTCAGAAGGCGGCGGGGCTTCTCAGAAGGCCTCCGCCCTTCTGGGAAGTTTTCGGCGTCTTCGGGGAAGCCTTAGAAAGGTTCTCAGAAGGCCAGGGGACTTACGAGCCTGCTGAGAAGGCCCGCCCCTTCTCACTTCCCCGCCTGGCTCGCCGCCTATAGGAGGCATCTAGAGAAAGCCCGCGGAAGGCAGCTACACTGCGCCACCACGCCTGGCCAGGGCCAGCCTGGGCCTCGGCATGGTGTACAGATCTTCCCGGCCTCGGGCAGGAGGGCGTGGGGTCCAGGATGGCGCTGGCCAGGCATGGTGGTGATACCTTTTTTCGTAAGAGGTGTGCGGATACGGTCGGACCGAGGTATGAGGTCGAGGTCGGTTCGGGGAGGGTACCCTGGTGTTTTTCTTTATTTTTTGATGATCTTGTGCATCCTGGGGGAGGACCCCCTCGACTGTTCTTCAGTTAGGGCCGGCGGAGGGTCTCATGTTTTTGAAGGGTGTTATAATGTCTAAGGTTCGGCCGTAGGCGCGCAAACAAGGGGGGCCTTCTGAGACGAAGCCCCGCATGCATAGACGTAAATTTTGGAGCTCCGCGCGGGTTTCTTGGAACGGCGCTGGACCCCCCTCCCTAGCGCGCGGAGCGCCGCCAGGGAAAAGAAATCCCCGCGGAGCTCCAACAGTTTACGTTTATGCAGTTTTGTCGTGTCTGCGGCCATTTGCGAACCCTACCCCTGCGGGCCCAGTCGACGCGGGGATATCGGACACGCCGCTGGGGTTCATTCGCCTGCAGGCATCATTCGAATTCTGAATCCCGTCCGGTTTTTCAGAAAGCTGGTCTGTAGGGGTAGTGTTCACACCCGGTTGCCTGCGAGCCCTCCTCCCTCCTCCCCTCCTGAGAGACCTTCTCGGAAGCTCTTTGCCGAGGGCATGGAGTCCCTTCCTCAGGGGGCAACGATGGGGGGGGATAGGGATAGGGGGGATGTATCGACCCCTGATCACCCATTGGTCGCCGATGGGGGCCCGGTATCCCCAATCTTCCCAGGATCTTGCGGCTTCACTACAGGGGGCCTGATTCTCGCTGGTCCATCGACGATGCATCGCTGATTCCAGGTCGATGTGTCCCCCACCTGCCAGTCCCCCCCCCATCGTTGCCCCTCGCCTCCATGCAGCCTTCTGGGAAGACCTCTTGGAAGGCAGGCTGGGCACCCGAGAGGCGGGGGGCCCTGCTGGAGGGACGCCCCTTCCTCGCCCTGCCCCCGTGTGGCACTCAGCTGACGCCACCCGGGCGTACCTCCCAGCCTCTGCCAATGCAGGCTGCTCCGATGGGATCAGAGGATCGCACCGCATCGCCGATGCAACGGCGGTGCTGCACGATCTTGTGACTGGTGCCCTTCATCCCGGCACGGCGATCGACGCATCCGCGATGTGGTGCGCTCCTTCGACTCCATCTGCTTCGGCCCAATCTGGTTAGGATGCCTTGGGCTGAGGAGGCGTATATGCCCCAGTTCTTGGCCCAGGATTTGGTCTGCGAGGATCGGTGTCAGCACGCTGTTGGCGTCCTCTTGCATCAGGAAGGATCCCGCCCGACCCTTGGCTTCCCGTCGCCCCGAAGCGCGCCCCGAACGATGCCAACAGGTTGTCAACCGACAGGGCGACCGACAGGTCGGTGCTCACGTCGAAGCAGGAGGAGGCGGCGGAAGCGATATCGAAGCTCCGCAGCGCTCGGACCGGCTATCTCAAGAACGAGAGCAAGAATTGGGTTCGCAGCCTCGTGCCGACCAGCCGCAAGCAGGAGGGGCCCAGAAGTCTGGCTAAGGGGCTGACCAGCGCTCTGGCGTTCCAGCCGAAGCAGAGCACCACGTCGGAGGGGGAGAAGCGAGCGTTCATCCCGAGGTCGTCGGGCGACGGGAGCTATACACATGCAGCGATCCTGGTCAGGCCCATCCTGGTCCCCAGGAGCTGTGTAACGTTGTGCGTTTGCCTTGCCTCTAATGTTGCGTCTCCCGCGACATTGCACGCGTTTGTGACATTCACGCCTCTGGAGGAGGAGCGAGTGTGTGCGAGTGTGCCTCCCTGGCCAAGCCAGGATCGCACATGCTCCGATCCTGTGCCCGGCATGGGCCTGGCCAGGGTCGGTGGGTTTGTGAAGCTGGCGTCCCCCCAGGTTGGTGAGGCGCCCTACCTACGAACTCGCCCGGGCCACGCTGACAGTCCTGGACGCGGTGCTCGTCGTCTGGGAGATGCAGTACGCATCGCAGCAAGTGGCCTCTGGCATGCAGAACGGCCCTCCCTCTTGACCCTCTTCCTCCTCGTCCTCGTCCTCGCCGCCACGATCGTGGTCGTGGTCGTGGTTGTGGTCTTGGTCTTGGTTGTGGTCGTGAGCGCAGTCGCCGTCGCCGCCGCCATTGTTGTCGTCGTCGTCGTCGTCGTCATCGTCGTCGTCTTGCTGCCTCTCCCAGAGGCATCCACGATGCCCTCGCTTTCACCATGCTTCTGGACATGTCCTGTGCGCTCTTCCTGACTGACCTCCTCCTGAGGCTCAGGGGGCGGAATAGCAGGATGAGAATGGCGATCAGGATGACGATATCTATGATGATGATGATGATGATGATGATGATGATGATGATGATGATGATGATGATGATGATGATGATGATGATGATGATGATGATGATGATGATGGTTATGTTGATGATGATGATGGTTATGTTGATGTTGAGGAGACGAAAGAATAACAAAGCGCGCCAATGGATGGCCCTGAATATACAAAAGGGGGTGTGTGCTCGCACCCCCCCCCCCTTAAAGGGGGGGGGTCCGACCCCCCCCCTCCCTTGAAAGGGGGGGGGGTCCAGACCTCCCCCCCTCCCCCCCGTTGCGCCGAACAGGGGGCTGGGGAGGGGGCCTCTCTGGTATTGAGTAGAGAGTGGAATGTTTTGATTCGCGATTGGTGAGTAGTGGGTGCTTGATAGTGAGTAGTGCGCAGTGAGTCGTGAGTAGTGAGTAGTGGGTAATGGGTAGTGGTAGTAGTGAGTAGCGCGTAGAGATTAGTGAGTAGTGAGTAGTGAGTAGTGGGTAGTGAGTGGTGGGAAGGAAGTAGTGAGTAAGGGATTGTGAGTAATTCGGAGCGAGCAGTGTGTAGTGAGTAGTGCATTGGGCGTAGTAAGCAGGGAGTCGGGATGAGGGAGTAGACAGTAACGACTAGCGAGAGTGAGTAGTGAGTAGTGAGTAGTGCGCAGTGAGTAGAGAGTAGTGAGTCGCGAATGTTGAGTGGTGAGTAGCGAGTAGCGAGTAGCGGCTATGGAGTAGCGAATAGGGAGCAGCGAGTAGTGAGTAGTGAGTAGCGAGTAGGGCGTCGGGAGTTGTCAGTAGTGAGGAGGGAGTAGTCAGGAGTCAGTAGTGAGTAGTGATTAGGGAGTCGTGCGTAGCGAGTAGGGAGTAGCTACTAGTGAGTAGTGAGCAGTGAGCAGGGAGTAGGGAGTAGGGAGTAGTGACTAGTGAGGAGTGAGAAGCGAGAAGGGGGTATTGAGTAGTGGGCAGTGAGTAGGGAGTAGCGAGTAGAAATTTGTGAGTAGTGAGTCGTGAATACTGAGTAGTGAGTAGTGAGAAGTGAATAGCGACTTGCGGCTAGTGAGTAGGGAGTAGGGAGTAGGAAGTAGCGAGTAGCGCGTAGTGTGTAGTGAATATGTCGTATTGGGTAGCGAGTAGCGGGTAGTAATTATTGAGTTGTGGGCAGTGCGTAGTGAGTAGTGAATTGTGAGTTCTCAGTAGTAAGTAGTGAACAGTCTTTAGTGGGTAGTGAGTAGTGCTTCGTGAGTAGTGGGTAGTGGGCAGTGGGTCGTGTTTAGTGAGTAGTGAGTATTGATTACTGGGTAGGGAGTAATGAGTAGTGAGTTGGGCGTACTGAGTGGTGAGTAGTGAGTACCGTGTAGGGAGTAGGGAGCAGCGAGTAACGAGTAGTGGATAGTGAGTAGTGCGTTGTGGGCACAGAGTAGTGACTAGTGAAGTGCGAGTAGTGAGTAGTGGATAGTGGTTAGTGGGTAGGGAGTAGCGATTTGTGTTTAGTGAGTAGTGGGTTGTGTTTAGTGAGTAGTGGGTAGTTTGTAGCGAGTAGTGGGTAGGGAGTAGGGAGTAGTGATTAGTGAGTCGTGGGTAGTGACTCGTGGGTAGTGAGTAGTGAATCGTGAGTAGTGAGTAGTGATCAGTGAGAAGTGAGTAGTGAGTAGCAAGTAGTGAGCTATGGGTAGTGAGTAGTGCGTAATGAATAGTGAGTACTGTTTGGGGCTATATTTTGGGGTTCGGGTTAGGGTTCGGGCTTAGGGTAAGGGTGATTAGTGTTAGGGGTGGTAGGGGTCGTGTTCCGGAGACCGGGGGCGCCGTGGCGAAATGGGGGAGGGGGGGGGGGCTCGAATTTGGCGGCCAAAAGGAAAAGGGGGGGGGGTCGGACCCCCCCCGTTTGAAAGGGGGGGGGGGGGGTCCACGACGACGGACCGGGAAAGGGGGGAGGGGGGGGGTTCCCGACGACGGATCGGGAAAGGGGGGGAAGAGGGGGGGGGGTCCCCGACGACGGATCGGGGAAGGGGGGGGGGTCCCAACCCTCCCTCCCCCCTTGGGGACATCCAGCGGCGCGCCCTCCAAGAATAGCTCATCTTGGTGACGACGACGAAGACGAAAACGATTGCGATGAGGTTGATTATGATATTAAGGACGATTGTGATATCGAAGTTGCGGACGATGATGCTGTTGAGGTTGATGGGGATGATATTCATGATGACGACGATGATGGCAACGATGTACATTATGTTGCTGCTGATGATGACGCTGTTGCTGCTGAGGATGATGACTGCCATGGTGTGATGACGCTCATGATTATATTATGATCGCGGTGGTGACGCTCATGATGGTCACCTCCATGATGTTGGTGAAGGCGATGCAGATAAACGACGACAAACGACTGGGGTATACAAAATACCACTGAACACAGCAGGCCAAACACAAACAAGACAATGTAATAATCCTATGGGCGAAGCGGATGGTCACTTTAAATGATAAGAACATTGCCTGGTACGACAAACACGGTCAGTGACAGACAACCAACTTAGGTAAGTCAGTCGAGAAAGACGTCGAAGCTTCGCTAGATGCTTTTCGGACCAAAATCAACCCGGATCCCGACACCGACAGTGACCTGTAAGGCAGACGGCTCCGGCAGCCAATGCATGGGAGTAAACCAAACGAGTTTTGACAACAACGCGAACATCACACATTTGTTGGTAGCACCCTTTCATGTTTCAGGACGTTCCCCGCTCAGTGCGCCGGCAGGACACAACGAGCAGCTACCTGTACCAGATCATTCTCAACAGGGGCATGTTTCACCGACTCCGGCGCCTACCTCCGACTCCAGCGCCATCATTCCTTTTTCTGCTTATCCTGAGTTCGACGTGGCTCCGGCCCAATCTGAAGTTTCACACAGCCACGGCGGAGGACGACGGACTTACAGCGACACATCCGGAGATGTGCCACTATGTATACTACGCCAGGCTTGAGCTGTTTCGCTCTCTCCCACCAGCGGCGCCGATGGATCGAAGATCGATGTGTCGAAAACCACCGCAGTCACCCACGCCCAACGTCCACGTGTTTCACCCAGGGCCTTTCGGAGTAATTCTGAGAACAGGGGGAGTACACCCCCGATCAAAGAAGTATCGCAAATCTGCCCTTCAGAAGCCGATGGGATTCCGAAAGGGCCTCCAGTACAGGATCCAGTCTTTCACGGTCAATATCAGGTGCCCGATTTAGGCAGCAATGAGGTTTCGACTGCAGGTGCTACGGGTGATCGATTTCTGGAACATATTCAGCCTCATGGGCAACATTTCCAACCTCAAGGGCAGGATCGTCGCATGATGCACCCCGACTCCCGCTTCCGACCTCCGTCCCTCCCACGTTCTTCTCCTTCCCGACCAACACCGGCGCCAGGATTCGGAGTTGACCGGATTCGCCATCTTGAGGTTGCTGGGCAGCATGTTCATACACCATCTTTGGATCCCGCCCGTCTCCGGCGATGTTTCTCTGACTCCGGCTCCCCACTCCGACCCTGCTTTACCGACCCCAGCTTTTCCTCCAGCTTTTAAGTTCCATCCTCATCCAACCATTGGGTTCCAGTCTCCTCACACTCAACATCCCGACGCTCAGCATCCGACATTTCATGCTCCGCCTCTACCTCCAATTCCCGACCTATACTTACCACGAGTACAGCATTCCGACCTCAAGCATCCAACATGCGGAGGAAGAGGAGGAGGACGAAAAGGTTACAATGCCGCTTCTGGCGACGTCCCACTATGCATCCTCCAACAGCGGCGCGCGAAATCCGGCACCCAGCATCCACCGCTGCCCGACTCCGGCTTTCGACCTACATCTACCGACTTTCCGACTGCACCCACTAGCCTCCAACCGCCACCATTACAGCATTATGACCTCCAGCCTCCAGCACCTGGCTTTCCAACCCCACTTCCGCATATCGACCTCCGACCTCCACCAGCCCAACATCTCAACATCCAGCCTCCAGCATCAGACATTCTATCTCCACCTATCGACCTACAGACCTCACCAGCACACCACTCCGACATCCAGCCTTCAGCACGCGACTCTCGCCTTGCACCTCCACCTCCACCCACAGAGTTGCAACCTCAATTACCCCACCTCCAACCACCAAGTTCTGACTCCCAGCATCAACCACACTGCAACCCAACGAATGTCGTAGCAGACAGCCACGTGTTTGTGGTATACCACAAAAACATTCGAGGCCTCATCTCAGAAGACAGGGTGGAGGAGCTTTTACACGAATTGCGAAGTATACAGTGGGATTTTGTGACGCTGAATGAGACATGGCGGCAAGATAGACACGAGTATTGGTCTACCCAGGAAGGAAACATATTCATGGGATCTGGATTCGAAGAACAATGTCGCGGGGTTGCCATTCTAGTGCACAGCAGGTTCGCCCATTGCATTCGATGCTTCCAGCCAGTCAATGAGAGAGTATGCTACGCAGATGTGGTGATGCCCAGTTTGAGGTTGCGCATCGTGTCAGCTTACTTCCCACATTGCGGATACAGTGACAAGAGTGTCCAAACCATGTATAACATCCTTGCGGAAATCCGCCGGCACGCTGCCACGAAGGGGCTCGCGTATGTCATCGGAACGGATGCCAACGCACGAGTGGAACAACAACAACCAGAGGACGACCGACGCACTATGGGGGCATGTGGTCTCGGCGCTGTCAACGTTCGCGGTCAATGGTTAAAGCGTTGGGCGTCGACGGAGAGACTACGCATCATGAATACGTACTTCTACAAGCATACACAGAACGTGGCGACGTACATTTCTCCTGACAAACATCAACACCAAATTGATTCTGTTTTGGCCAGCAGACCCACATGGCGAGAGGCAGCCGACTGCGAAGCGACTGCCGACATCGATCTTGGCTCTGACCACGCGGCTATACGATTCACTTTCCGAACTCCACGGCGTCAGCGACGATGCAACAGTG